GAGATGGGGTTTCACCATGTTGACCAGGATGGTCTCGATCTCTTGACCTCGTGATCCACCTGCCTCGGCCTCCCAAAGTGCTGGGATTACAGGCTTGAGCCACCGCGCCCGGCCCTTGGAACAGTTTTTTTTTAAATAATAAAAGACTGAAGTTTTTATTAACATCTGGCTGTACCTCATATGTCAGGCTCTGAATATACCATGGATAAATTCCATTAAACAGATTTACAAATTTGACTCACGTTGATTTTTCTAATTCCTAAAATGGTTTTTATTCGGTCATAGAGGTAATCTGTTTTGCTGCATTCTTTTTCCCAGGAATCTTTATCAAATTTTATTTAGAAAATTAAGTTTTTAAGAGAGGAGGGTCAAAAAAGGAAAAGTTTACCTACCCTAAGTTGCTTAGAAAATTCTAAGCATTTGGGAATTGACAAAGGATATAATAGGAATAATCATTAAATTACAAAATGACTTAACATCAGGATTCTTTACAACATTTGATTTGAGGTCATATCCTACTTTCCTAATACAAAAGTATTTTGTTGGCCAGGCGCAGTGGCTCAAATGTGTAATCCCAGCACTTTAGGAGGCTGAGGTGGGTGGATTGCTTTAGCTCAGGAGTTTGAGACCAACCTGGGCAACATGGCAAAACCCTGTCTCTATAAAAAAAATACAAAAATTAGTAATGTGTGGTAGCATGTGCCTGCAGTCTCAGGTCTTTGGGGGCTGAGGCAGGAGGATCTCGATCCCAGGAGGTCAAGGCTACAGTGAGTGCAGATCATGCCACTGCACTCTAGCCTGGGTGACAAAGTGAGACCCTGACTCAAAAAAAAAAAAAAAAAAAAAGGAAATATGTTAATTCCCTGTTAATTTGCCATATCTTACATAAGCACACCTTGCTCATCACACTAGAAAACAAATGTGACAAAGAAATGAGACGTTCTCAATAAATAATATTCAAAATAGTTTTTGATTTTAAATTCTTTCAGATTGGGATTAGCTCCACTGATAATTTGAGCTTCCAGAGGAACCATTTAAATTACCAAAATTACTTTTTAAATGATTG